GGAGGAAGCGACCGTTCCCGGTTTGTGAAATCTGCATATAATCATTGGCGACTTCAACCATACCAGTACTTATCCACTTTTATCATTGAGTATGACAGATCTCAGTTACTGTCCCACAAGAGGTAACTCTATACTGGACAGAGTTATTACCAACCACACAACCCTTTTTTCTTTAGCACTAAAAGATCCTATTTCCTCCAGTGACTATTGCTTACTCTTAGTTCGACCTAAAGTTTATTCACATAGTGCATACAAATCTTTCTCCCGATCTGCATATATCAGATTTCGTTTTCGTAACCTCTCACCTGAATGAATCTCTCAGACAGGCCTCTTTATGGTTTTCGTCATCTCCTTCTTCTCTATTCACACGTGTTCTCCTATTCACCCAAACAATCAATGCCATTTTTGATTACTGCTGCCCTATTCAAAGCCTTCATGTGTCCAACAGAAGGATAAACTCTCCCCTACAAAAGGAATATGCTTACAAGTCTCACAATGCTTCAACTGTTAGGTATTTGTCCAGGCTTATCACAGCTGAAGCAAATAGATTGAACGCATTATTCTCTGCTCGAATTCTGAGGACTGGAAGCAGCAAGCACCTGTGGCAAGGTATAAGACTTCTCTGTGGAAGGAAGAAAGTACGGTCGAAAGTAAATATGGACGCTGATGATCTAAATGCCACATTCCTGTGCCAGTCATCAGACATTTTCCCTGCCTACTCGTCACAAAATAGTTGTAACGTGGAACCATTCTCATATCGTGATGTGTTAAAACTTCTAAAAAGCTGCAATTCGTCTTCTGCTGCAGGCCAAGATGACTTACATCCAGTCCTCTTCAAATTTGGTGCTGCTTCCCTAGTTGGGACAATCACCTCCATTGTCAATGAATCTCTTAATTCTTCCACTATCCCTGACTGTTGGAAGCCGGTCACAATCAAACCAATTCCCAAAGCATCCTCTCTAAACGGCATTAACATCTTCAGCTCTTAAATTGATGGAAAAGGCCATTCTCAAACGCCTTCAACAGTCTATAAGCATTCCCAGTGATCCGTTACAGTTTGCTTACAAGCCTAATAGATCCATCTTGGACGCATTCTCCACCCTCATTCATTTTATCAATAATTCTTTGAACAGATCTGTTAACCTGTTCAGTGTGCTTTTCTGGACTACTCTTTTGCATTTGATTCCATTGCTCGATCTAAGTTGTTGAAAAAACTGGATTGTTTGAATGCCCCAAGCAGTTGTTAGCTTGGCTATCCAACTATTTTACTGATAGAGTAGAAATCACGAGATTGGGGAAGGTCACATCGAAACCCTTAATTAACAACTCCGGGGTTTTTCAAGGAGCTGTGCTATCCCCATTTATATTTGTGATATTCCCTGTGTTTCTCCAGCCCGAATTTTGAAATATGCAGATGACGTCGTGTTGTGCCAGCGCATTTCTTCTTACTCTGACCTAAGTTCTTTCACCGACAATCTTGGCCAAATTCAGCCATTCTCCTTCTTATCGAGGCTAACCCTGAACCCCAGTGAATGTGTTGAGTGTTTATATAGTTTTACTCGCTCCCCATATCCGACGGACACCACAGTGATTAATAACAATCCTTTATCTAGGGTGAACTCTGTCAAGTATCTTGGTGTAACCATAGATAGCAATCTTCATTGATCAACCCACATCCACAACTGCATTGGTAAACTGCGGTGCCTATCATTTCAAATTCGAAAGCTCAGGCAGTTTCGTGCATCCCAGTCAGTTATTTCTACCTTTGTTTATCAGTGTATTTTCCCCATCTTACTCTACTGTTCTCCAGTAATTTTTCCTGGCTTACTCAAATAGGATTTTAAAGTCTTACTAACTGTTATTAGCCGCATTTCCTCTCGTCCTGTGAATGAGTTAGCTTTAAAGCTTTCAGAGTATCATGTTACCTCTTGTGTGAAAATTGCTGAGAGGATTCTCACAGATTCACCCATTGCACGCAGAACTGACACGATATCGTTCCTATCATTTAACACGCTCCCAATTCCGCCAAATTTGACCTCGAATTAACGCTTATCGCAATTCAACTATGCCGTATCTTGCTCGTGTACGCATAAACAAAGAGCGGATAATAAGTTAACTTTGTCTTAACTTTGGGTTATGAAATATCCTCATGTTTGTTAAAAAATTTTCATAGTTTGATATGTACGTTGTGGCGGTTGGCGTGTATGATTTTTCAACTGAAATGTGAGCTCCAGTGCTTGCAAAAGTTATGCACAATACAATACAAAGGATACATTTCTCCTAAAGAAATAAACAAAATAGACTCGGAAAATGAAGTAGCCCAAACCCCATTGAACAAAAACAACAACCGGAACAAACGCGGTACAATGCACTGGAAGCAGAGGATAAATTAATCATACTTCGACACACACACACATACCTGTTCTCGAAGCGAGTCGTTCTCCAACGCAAGTCGTCCAGCTTCAGCCTCCGATTCAGACTTGATGCCATCGGCAACCTGAACGGTTTTCAACAGATCCCGTTCATATAGACGCCATTCGGTCGTTTCCCGTTCTCGTTCGGCCTGAAGTAGTTCGTATTTTTCCTGCAGATCAGCAAGTTCCTTGGTCAATTCCGATAGTTTGGAACGGTCGTCCGAAGAAATTTCGTTATTACACACGGAGCACAGTATTTGTTTATCAGTTGGTACACATTCGGTCGTGCCATTCTTCTCTGCCGTATACACACCCTGGGGCAAGTCTGATAAGCAGAACAGTTCCGTGGCTCCATCCACATTGTACTTGATTTTTAGGGTTTTAAGCTCCGATGAAACGGTATCGTAGGCCATTTTCAGTGAAGCATGTTCCGCCTCCAAAGCGTCGAAATTATCCTGCAACTGAGCTGCTTTCTCGGTCAGAATACGGCACTCGCGAGCCAAACTATCGCTGCTCTGAGCCAAATCGTTGTTCTGGGTGAGTAGTACTTGCTTTTCCTGTTCAATCGAGGCGTACAACTCGCAGAAATGATTCTCTCGCGAACCGGTCGCCTGTGCCCGACGATCGGTCAGGAGTAAATGTTTGAGCTGTTCAATCTGAAAACGACAATGTTCCAATTTAGTTGTCTGTGTGGACAACGCTTCCAATAGGATGGCCCGTTCAAACGCCAGACTATGCGCCTCTTCGTGTGCCTCGTCAACACTTCTTTGCAAATCCCACAACTCTTGTAGTGTAGCTTGTAACTCCTCATTTGTGGTATAGTTGGCTTCTTCCATCTGCAACAAACGACCTTGTAAAGTGGCCACAAAAACTCCCGAGGACGGAACTGGACGCTTGTTGATTTCCATTTTGGACATAACACCGGTACGAAATCGGGACGCATAGTCCGCAGCATTATCAATATTGCCCAGATCCAAAAATGTCGGCTCATTGAAATCACTGGAAACGGAACTCACAGTGACCGTGCCAGTGATACCAGTAGTGGCACCTCCTGGAGTGAGCCGAGTGGTGGTCCCAAGCGATTCTGGCGGAGAATGTGGCACAGAGACAGGCTTGCGAATTGTGTTGAGAGGAATTTGTGTGGCTTTTTCCCCTTGTGTCGGGCTGTTTGTGTTTGGCTGATCACCGTCTCGGGGACAGCCGTTGTCCACATTTTTGAGCTGTTCTCTCATCTGATTCGCTTCCTGGCGAGCTTCTTCAACCAGTTGTGTGGCTTTAGCCAATTCCTCTTTGGCTCGTCGAACCTCGAAAGTAAGTTTTTCTATTTCCATCTTACGGGTTTCGGTAACCTGAGTGAGTTCCGAGATACGAGCCTCATACTGTTTCTTTTCCTTCTCTACACGCGAAAGCAGATCACTGTTAACCGAAATCCGATGCGACCGTTGACTGTCGAAACTGGTTAGATGCGATTGAAATCTGGATTCGGAACTGGAACTGGCCTGATTATTTGTACACGCATCGGGCAGGTTTGCAGCACTTCCATGATGCTTTTTGGACGATTGCAACTGAGTGCGTTTCGTGGATTTCCCGTTTTGTAAGTCCACGTTAGACGGATTCCCATGTGCCTTACTGGTTGACGTGACTTTTAGATTCTGATAACTGGAGGACTTTTTCAGATTTCGATCGGTTATCGAACTGACCGATTGGGTTCGTGCGGAAGACTGTGACGTGGGCCGCACGAAACCGTCATTCGGCTTGGCTTGACCACGTATGTGAATTTCCGTTCGTGGTTGTTGTTGCGCGCTCATCCCAGTCGATCCTGCGGTTTTACCGACTATTCGAGAGGCGATAATTGGTCCCGATTCGACCGGATCCGCGACACATATTTTGGGTTGATTTCCAACGGCAGTTTTTGAGCGTAATCCACCACTCATACGAGACTAGTGAGAAATTAACGGATTGATCCAACTCTCCTTTAATAGATAAACTCCCAGAACAACTAAAATAGAAGAAATGAAGGCATGTTTACTGAATGACAACCGAATAAAAGTCCAAAAAATCCAGCAAATGTGAAGCGGTAGGCTGAATAGCCACAGTTCAACACAAATTAAGTCAAACATCTCTCGTCTCGATTTCCGGTATTACTAAGAGAACCTTGATCAAAGTGAAGTTTAGGATTGTTGAGGCATAGAGACAGTGAGTTATCATAAGCCTAAGACAATGGATGCATCACAGAGGAATGTATACATAATACGCATATATATATATACATATATATATATATATATATATATATATATATGTATATATATACTCTTAATTTATTTACCGATAGGAATGTTGTCGGCTGAATGGATGACGGAAAATGGGTGTTTCACAATTTCGGTTACTTGGAGTGAAAGATGGTCGGAAGTACGGCTCCTAGGGAGAATCACTTTGTATGGTTGACT